AGGAAAACATACCGGTTGGAAAAAGTGACCTAGGGCAATAACTAGTTAGCGGAAGGGCCTCTGACTTGGTCCAATTCACCTTGCAACCAGAAATACCTGAGAATGTATTTATTATTACCTGCAAGGACTGAAAAGACTTTTCTGGGTCTGATATAAAAAGCAAAATGTCATCGGCGTACAACAACAGTTTATGACAGTCTCTCCCTATACTAACACCTGGATAATTGGGCTCCCTACGAATAGCCACTGCCAGTGGCTAAAGGGCCAGAGCAAAAAAGTGAGTGGGGAGAGGGGATCGCCCTGCCTAGTTCCTCTACCTAGTTCAAAAGGAGGCCCTATTATTCCATTTGTAAGTACTGATGCCTTGGCGTCTACATATACAAGCTAAATCCAGTTAATAGAGCTTTTAGTAAAACCGAAACACTCCAAAGTGGCAAATAGATATCTCCACTCAACTCTGTCGAATGCCTTTTCGGCATCCAATGAAATCGCAGCTATGGGAGAATGACTGTCCTGAACCGCCCACATAATGTCAATTAACCTCCTAATATTATCAGCTGAAGAGCGTGAATTTATGACATCAACTTGATCTACATGTACAAGAGAGGTTATTACCCGGTTTAATCATCGATTAGCCAGAATTTTAGATAGAATCTTACTATCATATTTGTTGGCGTTTTCTTAAATTGCGGTCCTTTTGGCCCCTCGGGGCCACTGTAGAGAGTCCATTGTGGGAATGTTGACAATGCTGCAAGCCTGAATGCTCATCACTGCTTTTGTTACCCGTTGAAGGTCTGGCTCCTGGGTTGGGGTCCTCATAGACGTCAAAACTAGCCAAGCTATGAGTAAGCATGCTGCCTGTGCAGATGTTAGCAGTATAATCCATTTGTTTCTTTCTCAGACTCAGCTTTTATTTCACCATCATGCTCTTGCCTCTTTGTACAGTAAAAATACAAATAATGTCAATATCTCCATTCTGAAAACCTGTAGACCAAACAACTGTTTTGCTCCTCCAGCAAACAACTGAAATCAGACTGTAGTGGAAGTGCATACAAAGAAATGCCCGTTTTATTTATTTATTTTCTTGTTAACCAACTGGTGTTCAGATAACTGAAGAACCTTTGTAATACAAGTAACAACATAATTGTAACTGTAATGTAGCTACAGAGTTTAGTGCAGTAACATGCTACATTACTGCAATACTGAAAAGTGTTGTGATTACAGTAATGTAGAGTAATAGTTGCGGTTAGTTGGTGGCTAGCATATCCCTTAAATCTGGGAACTGATTGGTCGGGGTTTAGTAGTTTAACTGCGTTCTCGACCAATAGGAACACGTGGCTTTTGTGCCGCGTTCAGCAGTGACGCAAGGATGACTGACAGTTGGGGAGGGTGGATTGCTGGTTCCAGCACTTCACTAGAAGGAAGATTTTCCACTGGAGCAGTCTCATAATGGCACTCTGCGCTCGGCCTTTGATCAAATGATGAGCGCTTATAGTCAAATAGTGCGCCCTGACGTAGCACTGACATTACTACATTTTGTAACAATTAGGGACAGAATATGTTGATTGAGTCGTGACACACAGCAGTCATCTGTCTTCATAGAAAGGATGACCCTGAATCAGGCCGTACAGTTTTATACCCCAACAACAACAGATCAGATCAGATCACTTTTATTGTCACATCACACGTGCAGGTACATTGGTACAGCACATGTGAGTGAAATTCTTGTGTGCGAGCTTCACAAGCAACAGAGTTGTGCAAAATACAATAATGTAAACAAGCAAAATACAAGAATGGCTACATCTGAAACTAATAAATATATGTACAATATATAATAGTATATGCATTTCTGGATGTGTATACTAAATATTTTTCTATGTGTGTGTGTGTGTGTGTGTGTGTGTGTGTGTGTGTGTGTGTGTACACATATTTTACAAATTAAATAGAGTCAACAATAAATAAAATATATAAAATATACAGAGTTGAGACATGTGCAAAACAGTGGCATTACTGTACAGTATGGAGTGCATAATGTTAAAGTTCCAGTAGTGAAGCTGAGGTGTCTATGACGTGTTCCTTCTTGATGGAAGCAGTCTGAACAGTTTATGGCTGGGGTGACTGGAGTCCTTGATGATCCTCCCCGCTTTCCTCAGGCAGCGCTTCCTGTAGATGTCTTGGAGGGAGGGAAGCTCACCTCCAATTATCCGTTCAGAGCACCGCACTACTCGCTGGAGAGCTTTGTGGTTGTAGGCGGTGCTGTTGCCATACCAGGTGGTGATGCATCCAGTGAGGATGCTCTCAATGGCACAGTGATAGAAGGTCCTGAGGATGCGGGGGCTCATGCCGAATCTTTTCAGTCTCCTGAGAAAGAAGAGGCGCTGCTGCGCCTTCTTCACTGTTTTGTTTATGTGTACTGACCACGTAAGATCCTCAGCCAGATGTACACCAAGGAAGCGGAAGCTGCTCACTCTCTCCACAGCAGCGCCGTTGATGGTGATGGGGGTGTGTACTTCTCTGCACCTCCGGAAGTCCACTATCAACTCCTTTGTCTTTGCGACGTTGAGGGTGAGATGGTTGTCTTGACACCAGTGGGTCAGGGCGCTGACCTCCTCCCTGTAAGCTGTCTCATCACTGTTTGTGATAAGACCCACCACTGTAGTGTCGTCCGCAAACTTCACAATGATGTTGGAGTTGTTAGTGGCCGTGCAGTCGTAGGTGTAGAGTGAGTATAGGAGAGGGCTCAGTACACACCCCTGTGGAACACACTATCTTCTTCTGGAACTGACGTGGCAGTACTGTTATTTAATACTATCCTGATGCTGATTCTGTTTATCTAGTTTGGACATTCTATTTGGACTCCCTTTGGCCCAGAAAATATCATCTTGACAGTTATCTGGTGTGATGTAGCAGAAAAAACTCCCTCTTGGAGGAAGAAATCTTCCTCCTAAGGGCAACACTTACTAATATTTGTCCTCCAGTCGGCAATTAATGGCTGGGACGACTGTTGTTCCTTCTCTGCATGATGACGACCTTAGCTTCCTTCCACATCCTGTTTTACAACTGAGAATGAAGACAAAACTAGTTAACGAGGTGATAGCACACAGCCTCTCACACTTCAGGATAAGACGCTGTGTCTTCTTATGTTTCTCTTGTAAAACAGAATGTAGGCCGAGTGCTGCTGTTCCTCACAAACTGCAGATCCAGCTGTGTGGAGCACCTGTGTGTCTTGAAATCATATTAAGAGAAACGAATTTAACTTCTGAAGGTCAACTGATTCAAGCAAAGAGTGATTTTGACTTAGTGCTTCTTAGAACATCAAAAGCTTTTGTGTGTGAGTCCTTCAATGAAAAGCAACAACTTCTATTAAATCATTCTCTGTTTGTAACAAGGCAGTTGTTTTACATGATTCTGTGTTTCCATAATGACTAATAACGATTACAAGACTGTCACAGCCACCACCCTGAGAAGGAATAAATCCAAAGAGTGTTAGTTTCATAAAGTCTCACATCTCTGTCTCTCTTCCACAGCAGGTCTTTTGTTCTGTCTTCCTTCTCTCAACTGGTCCCAGCAGATGCCGCCCCTCCCTGAACCTGGTTCTGCTGGAGGTTTCTTTCTGTTAAAAGGGAGTTTTTCTTCCCGCTGTCGCCAAAGTGCTTGCTCATGAGGGTTCATATGACTGTTGGGTTTTTCTCTGTACGTATTTGTAGAAAGCACTCCACACACACACGGCTCGATACAGCGAGATGTCACGTTTATTTCTGACTTTTTTGTGACAGTTCACAGTCTGGATGGCGCCCGTCTCAGCTTTTTCCAGCCCCTCCTCTCGTCTCCCGTCTCACTAAAAAAGGGGAAAGAAGACTGTCATCAGACCAAACGCCGCCAGCTGTATTCTCACCTGCCTCCCCAGCACCGCCCCGTTGAGCTCACTGCACCACTCCTCCCCTGCAGCTGAGCCAGGGACCACACCTCCGCCACAGTTTTGTTGTAGGGTCTACCTTACAATACAAAGCACCTTGAGGCGATTGTTGTTGTGATTTGGCGCTGTATAAATAAAATTGAATTGAATTGTGTCAAGTCCATGTTTCTGTCCCTGCATTCAGTTATTTCCTTTGCCTTTGTCTCCTGTGTCTAGTGTTTAATTACACCTCAGCATTTTTTGTTATCAGATTTAGTTCAGCTGTGTGTTTTTCCTCAGCTGTCTCCACTCTGCCTACATGTATTTAACCCCTCATTGCTGTTTTGTCCCTGTTCTCCTGGAGTCCTGCTTCAGTCTGTTTTGTTTCTGTCCTGCTCTGATGTTGTTTTGTTTACTGATGTCCAAATAAAGTTTTCTGAAGCTTGTACTGAAAAAGGTTTCATTACTTGAAACTTTTCAACACAGTTGTCTTTGGTGACATCTGGTGGCCTGAAATATGAAGAGCAGGTTGAATCACAACATAAACTGCTTCATTATGATCGCTCACTCTACAGAGCCCTGTTGCCAGTTTCTGTTTAATATCATGTGACGGTGCTGTGTGATATCGTTCTACCACTGTGGTGCTTTGAACATGTCTATTTGATCAATAAGTAGTTTTGATGAATAAACATTCATTGTTTAAAGATGTGTCATGGTGTGGTCTCTCTTTGCTTTTGACTTCTTGACGTTTGTAAACATTTAGTGAACTTTATGAGTTTATTTCTGCCTTCTGTGTCCTGCATCTGGGTCCACACTCTACCTGCCACACAGCAGACCACGACGGCTGTAACTAGAGAACGGTCGAGGAA